AGGTGGCCAGAGTTAATCCATGATCACGTCCAAGTACCCAAATTGCCAACATCAGCATCAGCTGCTGCAGGAGTGGGGCGTGCGGCCCCGTGGACTGATGAACCCCAGGGGCCCCTGGCCAGCCAACAGTAAGGACAAGGCTGATGACAAGAGGCCTCCAAGGGCCAGAAGGGCTGGGTCCAGGAATGCAGGCCGTGGGGTTTGACAGAGGCAGCACCGGCTTGGAGGCCTCAGGAGAATGAGGCCTTCCCCAGTCACTGGGTCTTTTTGGGATTCATTTCAGCTCAATTCCATTTAATAAATATTTTTAAGCAACAGGGTATGCTGGACCAAATGAGGTACACAAAGAGAATTAACACAGAATGTTTGTCCCGAAGAGCTCACATTGAGTTGGAGGAAGAGACATGGGTACACTTACTACCATCAATTCCACCAGCCACCACAGCAGCAGAGACTTCACTATACACTTTATAACAGTGCCAGGAGGTGGACACTGATATCTTCATCTTAAAGAGAAGGCACTGAGGATCCGAGAGGTTAAGCAAGCCATCTAAGGTAACACAGCTGGTATGAAGGGTGGTCAGCATCTAAGTCTGACTGTAAGGTCTGTGCCCTCAGCCACCACGCATATTGTCTCCCCTGTGACCTGTGACCTGTGAGAATAAAAGCAGGAACACACTGAGTGTGCTAGGGAAGGGCCCTGAGCCTCAGTTTATTCATCTGTAAAATGGGAATAATGACTTCTAGTTACCTGAGTGACAAGCAACAGGTCTGTACCACTGCAAGACATGTTCTTACCCTTGTTATGGGGGCTCAGAACAGGTAATAGCAGGAGCTGCTCTTGGAGGGTAGAAGCCAAGCACTATGAGCTGGAACAGCATGAGCAAAAGCCCGGAGGTGTGAATGTGTAACTGCTCCAGCATGAGGCGTGAGAAAGTTGGGGACAATCAGGCAGAGAGGAGACCCCAAGCTGCTCAGCTCCTCCCCCTCTCCTTCTCCTTCACTCTGCAGCCCCTGGAAAGTTCCTCTTGGCTTCTGTTTGCACTTTCTCCTTTCCAGTTCCTCCTCAACCCACATAATCTGACCTTTGCACACATCACCCGCTGGAAACACTCTTGCCAAGGTCCTCAGTGCCAGCCTGTTGCCCGCCCAATGGTCATAGTCAGGTCTTCTCTTCCCTCCTCAGCAACCTAGACACGTCCTGACCTCCTTCTCTTTGAAACACTGCCCCTCGCTGGCTGGTTTACTTCCCTCCACGCTGGGCGCTCCCCTCTGTCTCCTTTGCCGGCTCCATCCCCTATGCCACGCCTGCATGTTGCCATGGCGGGTCCTGGACCTACTTCTCGTCAACACATTCTCACTGGGAGACTTACAAATTCACAAGGCTTACTCACCACCTCTATGTGGGATGTCCAAGCCTCTACCTCTAGCCCAGCGTCCACTCTGAGCACTGGACCCATATACCCGTCTGGGACCTGCATCTACTCTAGGCAGTCTGAACTCAAAATGAGCCCAGGGGACTCACTGCATTCCCCCATAGCTGCTGCTCTTTCTGGGTTCCCTCTGCCAGGGGTTGGCCAAGTCAGATCCTCGGAGTCATCCCTAATGTCTCCCTCACTAACACCTGGATGCTGTCTCCTCTCAACATCTCCTGTGCCTTTCTCTCCTCCCCACCACCACCCCCACTGCTGCAGAACAGGCCTTCACCATAGCTCCTGGGATTCCTCCATGGACTGCCACACCACACTCTTCCACAGCTTGCAGAGAGGTCTCTGTCACTCCCTGTTCAGAAGCCTTTAATGGCTTCCCATTGTGTTGGGGGTAAGGCCTATACTTCATGGCACACAACTCAATGTGCCAGCCTCTTCACCGCCCACATTCTCACTGTCCCTGGGTCTCAGGCTCCAGCCAGATTGCAACCATGGAGCAGATTTACCTGCCTTCACCTGAATCCTCCCAATCCCTCTAGGCCTTAGGGCTCAGCTTGAGAGTCACCTCCTCCAGGAAGCCTTCCCACTGCCCTAGGAAGAGTTAGGGCTCCTCTTCTGTGCTCCCATTGCAGCTCTGCACAACAGCTCTCTTCCTTCATCACACTGATGCTCTCTCTTCTCGCTGCCCAGCTGAGACCATGGAGGCTTGAAGTCAGGGACTGCCCTTGTGCTTTGTTTTTCTACGGAGCTAAGAGATATTTACTGAAATCAAAGGATCTGGGAAGGGTCTTAGACGTAGACTCTGGGAGTGCTTTTGGGAAATGGGTTACCCTGTGTGCAGACACTGAAAGTTGAATATGCAGTATCCTTTCTCCCCTTTCCCCTAAAGGAACCCCAATTTTGTTCAGGAGACAATAGCATTAAGTGCATTTCTTGGCCTCTCTCACAGAGGGCAGCCATGAGACCCAGCTTGAGTCAACAGGACTTAAGGAAAAGTAACTAAGTGTGCACGGGAGAGATCTGTTTCCCTGATGTGAGCACGGCCCCTTCTCGTTTCCTGTCTTCCACTTCCTTCCTGGAATTAGGAGAGGAGTCTGGAGGTGGGGTAGCCATCTTGTGACAATGAGCCAGCCACGAGGATGAGAGCCACACACTAAGGAATGCTGAAGGGGCCTAGGTCATGACCCCTGGACTACCTCTTATTCCGAGAGACAAATAAATCTCATTGAAGCCACTTTGGTTGGGTCTCCATTACATCTAGCTGAACTCCACCTAGTAAAGGCAGATGAAGGCAGATAACCATCTGTGAGCACTTCTCAATAGGCCTTTTCCCTTTGGAGGTGATGCTGGTCCTGACAGCAGGCAGAGGGCAAGGTTAGGGCGTAGGACAAGGTGAGGGTTGGAGAGGCTGACTTCTGCGCAATTCTATCAGAGGACTACGGCAAGGCCTCACTCAGGGTTTGAGGAAGAGGCTCCAGCCATAGTGGGCCTGATGTGCCTGTGACCTTGGCCTTCTCTTGGCTCTGCTTGGTTTCACTTGTGAAATGAGGCTCCTGGAACAGATAACTTTTCAAAGGATGTAGTGCCTCAGGTCTGGGCTTTGGAATCCGGCAAAGCTGGGTTCAGGCTCCAGCTCCATCATTTACTAGCTGTGTATCTTCCTGTCACTGTTGTGGTCGACCTCTCTAGCACTATCGTCTGTAAAATCCAGATTGTAATAGTACCTATAACTGTTGGGCTAACGCTGGGGTTCTGTGGAGTCAGGCATGTGGGTGCCCAGCAGAATGCCCGGCACAATCCACTGTGGGTGTTACAGCCCAGAGCCCCACATGTGCTGAGTGCTCCGTGGTGGCAGCCATCCTTGTATTCCAAATTCTCTAAGAGGGCAGACTGGTGACCCAGAGTTTCATGCCTGCTCTGGGCCTGGGGCTGCTGCAAGGCTCTGGAAAGCCTCTCTGATGCCTTTCACTCTGTGGGTGAGTAAAGTGGCCAGAGGCCACCCACTGTCTGACAGCTTTTCCTCCACACTGCATGCTGTTGTGTCCAGGGTCCTTGGACCATGGTGGAGAGAAGTCCCCAGACACAGGAGAGCCCAGACCAGGCTCAGAAAGGCATCAGACCTTGGGTAGAAATAAGAAACCTGTGTGGTCCATCTGTCCTGTGGCCTGTGTCATAGCCGAATCTTCCTGGGTGTTCAGGGTGGGCTCCTGCTTCTCCTGGGAGTAGGATGGGCTTGCCAAGGTTGGCTCTGCAGGGAACTACAGAAATTAAGGAGCTGGAAAAACACTTCCAGATCTGGATTCCTTACTGCAGCTGCTTTTGGCAGAACTTTCTTATCCTTCTCTTGAAAAGCCTCACCTTTTGTCTCCTCTCTGCACGCGGAATAGTGGTGGAAAAAAATCTTGGGGAAAAAAAAAGCCACTGTTCTATTCCAGCCCCGAGAAGGAGGTCAATGGGGTACGTCCCGTGTGTGCACAGGGGCCCCCTCTCCCCAACAGTACTCCGGGCCAGACCCAGCCGTGCTGACACTTGACAGCGCCTGCAGTTTACCTTGGCTCGGGTCCAGAGAGTTCGGGCCCAGTCCGGGGCGGCCCCCACTTCTCCACCTTGTTACCGGCCCCCTCTCCAGTGCAAAGAGCAGTTTAAATATAAATCAGTCCTCGACACAAACAGAGCCTCAGCAAGTCTCGAGCCATCACCGGAACAGAGAGCCCAGGTTTTCGGCGAGTGCAAACAAGCAGAGACCGGCTCCGTAAATCTCCGCGAGTGCGTCGGGAGGGGTGCGCGGGCTCCCCTCTCCTCCAGAAACCCCGGCTCCCTTCCACCCCTCCTCTGGCTCCCTCTGACCCCTCCGGTACCCCTCGGTCCTTCTCTTGCCTCCTCCTGCCCCCGTACCCCTGCCGACCCCTTCTCCGGTCCCCTCTAGGCTCCCACCCGCCTGTCCCCACTGCACCCACCCTGGTCCCGCCAGTCTCTCGGGCGCCCCCACCCTCCTGCAGCCTCCTGCCCCCTCTAGCCTCTACCTCCCCTCCCCGGGCCTGCCACTTCCCCACCCCCACCCTCCCGGCAGGCAGGACCTTCTCCAGGGGCGGTCGAGCCTCGCGGGTCCAAGCCGAGCTCCCGGAGCAGAGAGACACCCCGGGGCCGGGAACGAGGTCAAGCGCGACGGGCCGCCGCGTCACACCTGTCTGGGGGGGCGGCAGCGGCGGGGGCGGGGGCTCACAGCGCCTTGGACACCCGAGGAAAAGAGGGAGGAGGGAGGGCGCGTTTCATCATCGGCGGCGGCGGCGGCCACTTATAAAACTTCTGGGCGCGCACTCTCTCGCTCAGTCGCCGCTGCGCGCCTCCTGCGGCCACCGCCGCCGCGCTCGCC